AGGCAATGCATAGAACTCTACGCAAGAGGGGTGAGCCAGGGCATAAACGAGATGAGCTTAATGAGCTTATCACATAAATAGGATTCCTCTGTCCGCTGAGAAAAGCACATGTAATATGTAAACTCTGCTTGCTTCCACTTGAGGGGTGAGCCGGTGTATAAACGAAACAACAGGTAGGGGCTTGTTTCTATTCCTATGGACTTTCGCTATGACATTGTACTAGAACTGAGTTTCAGTTTTTCAGAGTACATAGAGGCGTAAAGTTTCATGTCCCTTTCTTGGTGGTATTTTTATATTACTAAAGGCAAAACCTTTCCCGGGAACTTTTGGTTGTATTGACCCCTTCCGCTCCAAAAGAGAAAAATTATATATGTAATACATACATACATTAACATACATAAGAAAAATTACAAATGTAGTACATACATATCTAGAAAAATTATATATGTAATACATACATACATACATGCCTGCATGCATGCATACATGTATATCAGACTCAAAATTTCTGGTAGAACTTTTGATAATATTGATGCTAATCTTAGTTAATCAAAGAAACATAAGTACCCAGGTCCATACCTACCTTAAGATCCTCAATGGTAGACTTCAACTGCTCATTTTCATTCATCAATCTTGCAATTTCATCAGCTTTGGACTGCAAAAGGAACATAGTCAGATACATTCAAAAGATAAGGACCAGATATATATTACAATATGGTCTTGAGTCAAATAGTTTGGATTACAGTTATAAAAACTGTTATGGTTAATTATGGTTCGCAAAAAATAATTTTTATAGAATATATTTCATCAGTGAAATTTTTGCATAATAAACAAAGATATAGCTGGCTCGTTAGATTCAGAAGGCTCGGTATCCTTTTTGTAGATGAGAAATAAATCATACAGGATAATGTAATAACAAGACAAACAAAAACAATTTTTTTGGCACCCTAATATACAACCCGCTGAGGAAAAAAGAATCATAGTGAACAAAATTGTAATCTTGCAGTTCGCCGAATTCCTTTAGCATTGGTACACACATCTCTTTTAAAAGAAAACCAATGACTTCTATGCAGTAAACATAATCACACCCATAAGGTCTTCCCCATGTTTTGGCATACCCTCCTTCGATATTTGGACTTCATTGTTGTGACAAGCATTAAAAAGATTTGAGTAACAATAAGATAAAAAGTAGATGCATCTTGAAGGTGCTCGGAAGAGAGGCAGACTAAGGAGTTCCTGACAGTCCAGAGCTAAAATCCATTGATTCCATTCTATTACAAGTCTCTTGAAGAAGTGTAGCAGTAGAGTTGCACTTTATGAATCCATGTAGACACAATGACACATAAATCCATGAAGGACTTGATCAATACATACATATCAGACAAAAATACATAAATCCACAAAGGACTTGATCAATACATACATATCAGAAAAGAATTAAAAGCACAAGAAACACATATGCACAACCTAAAAGAGAGTGTGGATCAGCATAGCACAAATGTTTTGATAAACGGAATGTTTCCTGGAACACTAAATTTTCTAAACAGTATCACCCCAAATTACTTGACTCGTATCTTTCCATCGAAGGCTCGAAGCCTTCCACACATTCAATGTGAAGGGTAAAGTGTTAGATGTTTAACATGCATTTTTGTCCTGCATCCCATTATCTTGAGCTTCTAGATATAGCCATTATTTGACGCTAATAATTGTTGCACAAAGAACCTCTAGCTTGTTGAATGCTGGTAAAGATTCTAAATTTTAGTGTAATATTTATCTTTATATGTTATTATCATCACAATCAACAGGCTTAAAAAAAGTACTTCCCATCTAGATAATGCTGATCATAGATCATGACAGAGAATTTGAGAACTCTTAAAAATTACTTAATTTTTCTCCTTATCTAAGCACTCACCAGTGCCTGAAAGAAAGAGATGAGCTTATAACATGAAAGGGATTCCTCTGTCCGCCGAGAAAAACATGTACAATGTGCACAAACTTTGCTTGCTTCCACTTGAGAGGTGAGGCAGTGCATAAACAAAACGACAGGGAGGGGTTTCTTTTAATCCCTATGGATTTTCGCTATGACATTATACTAGACTCAATGATTAGCCTGCACACCTGACGAGGTTTAATCAGTGATAGACTTTCAAGACTTATTTGATGGATAAAAAAAAATCTACCCTCTTTTTGCAAGCACTTCAAGGCCATACAAAAAGGACCACCAAATTCCCCTACTGACCTATGAAGAGTCTAGGATAAGTAAGATGATATAATCTACTATATTAAGTTGTATGAACATATATGACGCAGAAAATAAGCCAAATAGAAGATGGAATTGCATCTCAAAAAAACCTGTCTACATCTACACAGTACAACTCAAAACTCGAATACAGTAAGACCCTTGTTACACAAATCAAAATAGAACTAATAGAAGCAGTTTATCATTACCTTAGTATAATAACAGAATTGACAGCTATGAAAGATGTAATCAATAAGAAAATGAAGTTTTTTGCTGGTAATATTGTACTACTCTATAATTGTTCTGGTTTTTTGCGCTAAGAAGCCCTAGTAGAAGAACAGTTCTTGTAGTTCATAAAGAGAAAGGATAAACAACTTATATGAGCTGCAACATGAGCAGATCTTCGGCTGATTCAGATATAACTTATCCATGATAGCTCTCTGGGCATTCCGTTATTGCTTCACGAATATCTTTTAATGAAGACATACCAAGAAGAAAACCAAAAAGAATTATAAATGAAGAAACAAAGATGCAAAAAAAGTTAATAATCCTGATAAGTGTTTAACAATCTGGGTCACATCTATATGATAATATCATTTTACCAAAAACGGGTGTGATTACTAAATTTTTTCCTTGTATTGAACACTAGATATATGAATACCTGTGATTGCCTAGCAGCTCCTTGCAGCGCAGCTTCCATAAATTTCAATTCCTTTCTCACTTTCTCTAGTTCAGCAGTGGAATCAGCAGTTATACTCTGTTCATTGCTATCAGATTCCAAATCCTTTCTGTGAGCATTCATTTCCAGTGACTCACTAGATGCATCGATGCCATGTTTTACAAAGTTGGCATCTCTTTCTGGAACAGGTTCATCATTAGTTGGACTCGTGAATTGTTCATCAGAAACTTCAGCAATCTTTCCAGACTGAGGAGCATCAGATTCATTTACAACTGAAGACTCTGTATCAAGTCTTACATGCTCACTGTCTTGCACCTCATGGTGCACAGTAGAAGCTTTATCAGGATGCTCTTCTGATTCTTGGTCCAGTTTATCATGGCTTACTTCTGAATCACTTACGTTATGTGGTTCATCAGGCACACTGACAATATTACTCTCAACCTGATCGCCACCCTCCAAACCTGTCAAGTTGAATATACTTGACTGTGATTCATCACCAGTTTCAGTCTCAGTAACCTCTTTCCGCTGAGGTGGGACAGGGGAATCCTCTGTGTTCACATTTTCAGCAATTGTCAAATCTCTATCCACTTGTATAGGATCAGATTCAGCTTCATCTTTGCCTTCATCAAGTTCTATAGGTATATTAGGCTTCATACCAGCTACGTCAAGATTGTTGTTATCTTTCTCTTCGATTTTGGAGTCTCCGCTTTCTTTCTCAAGAGTGAGAACTACCTCTTCAGTAGGTACAGATGGCACTTCTAAAGAAGATGTATATTGCTCTTTGGTTGCTGTTGAAGAGTTTTCCAGGGTTTCTTCTTTTCCTGATGTCTCAGGTGTAGCATTATCTGCTCTAGGACCCATGAAGGCCATCACTGGTTTGAAAAGTGTTTTGGTGTCTGATCCTGATGATTTACGAAACAATATATTGATTGTATCGTTAGATTGTATATTTAGTAAGTAGCAAGAAATTTCTCATGGAAAAGAGTTAGGAAAAATCACTTCAGGAAAGGAAGAGAGAGCTGCAATCATTTATTTAAATGTTAAAACCTGGTCTGCCTATTTACTTAGAAAAGAAAAACTGGTCCCAATATCAGCAGTTATTTATTTATATGTTAAACAATGCACAAAGCAGTCTATTTACGTTTTATAGAACGTGTTCCTTGAAAATTGAATATGCACTTAGGTTTAGGAGACAATAAGTTATGTTCATCTGATAACATATTTCATCATCAGCTAAGTTTGGTGTCATGCAATTATCATAACCATGTTAACGATTATGTAAAGATTGACATCTGCATCATACATCAAATGTTAGATTATCGATGTCCACTGTGCTTGTTGCCGAATTATGTTGATCAATCTGCTCGTAAAAATGTAGAATGATAATGCAAGAAAAAAATATCACCTTCACTACCCGCAGGCTTCTCCTCCAATCCAAGAGCGGTATCAAAATTCTTCTCGATATTCTTAACACTTTCACTCAGCTTGTTCACGGCCCCGGCTAGATCGGGGAAATTCCCCAACGATACATTCCCAAACCACGCCATTTTCAAACAATCCGAACTCCAAATCCCCCAACCTGAACCCTAATCTGCCAATTGGGAGATACAATGAGCTTCATGAAACAAGATCAAACAATTTCTCCAATTGCACAAAGATTTACATGCTACAGCATCACGAAGAACGATCAATTTAGATAAGATCTGACCTAGATCGATGAAAATTGGGAGAAATCACGTACCTCGGCGCGAATCGACGTCGAATCCCCGAATCGAACCGGAGACTTTAGCTCTCCGACCGAAGGGTTTTAGCTCAATAGATCTTCATCGAATTTGGGAGATTTAGGGTTCGAATCTTAGAATTGTCGGGAAATTTGCGCGAAGTTTGAAGGAACGTGGAGCAGAAAAAGGAAAGAAGGGTTCGGTTTCTGCCGCTGTAGGCTCGTAGATCTTGGGAGGAGGTGAGATTTTGCTTGTTTTCACCGGAGGTCTTACGCGGAGGATGTTAACCTTTGTTTAGGACTCAGCTCTGGAGTGCGGGCCCTCACTCGCAACTCGCGAGTGGAAATTAAATCTCGGAAGCACCTGTTCGCGACATGTGGAGTGCACGTGTGCCATTTATAGGGTTGGGCTTGGGCCGGGTGGACTGCGGACTGACCCGGCCCAACCCGCTATAGGTCACAACCCGACTCGGTCTGTAGTGGGTTGGGTCTAATTCGGCTCATAATATACTCGGATCACGAGCCAAATTGGGTCTCACCTCAGACCCAGAGTTAGAGAAGTAGGTTCATCTCACTCTAGGCCGGCCCACGCCCGACCCGTCCTGGTCTAACCCGCCGCGGCTTATGATATATTTAATGGTTAGGCTAGCTATTTCTTTAAACATTTTGGTCTGTAACTAGCTGTTTCTTTAGCTTTTTGGGTCTGCAGCTAGCTGCCAACAAAGCCAAAATGTCATAAATCTTTGGCTCATAGGCATTTTGGCACATTGAGTAACAAAACAGCGATCCTTAAGATCGCTGCTGTATACGTGAAAGAATTAAAAAGTTTAATACTAATTTAAAAATAGGCTAAATGGCACTTAAATACCTTATAGTTTCACGGTATTAGCACTTATATACCCTTAGTTGTATTTCTTAGCATTTATATACCCTGAGTTAGTCAAAATTAGTATATTGATACCCTATATTTTGCAAACGTGACCATTTTTATTCAAAAGTTCTCATATAATATTTATAAGCTATTCTTGTAGTTATTTATCTATTATGTTTGTTGAAGTCATTGTTAAATCTTTTAAACTTCTATTTTTGAAATAGAATTATCATGTATTTAAAATTAGAATTTGGGTTGGTTTAATAGTAATTTAATAAATATTGATGGTTAGGAAGCTCCAAAATCAACATTCGAATGTTACATGGGAATTTCCATATAAAAAAATTCACCTTTGCAAAATAAAAGGTATTAAAGTGCCAATTTTGCCCAATTAGGGGTATATAAATACTATAAAGTACAACTAATGGTATATAAGTGCTAAAGGAGTGAAACTATAAGGTAATTTAGTGCTATTTAGCCTTAAAAATACTTTATGTAGACGCATTAAAGAATTTCACGTCTTGACCACCCACAAGCTTAATTAATTAAAGGATGTTTAATGCATTTGAATAAACTTTGACAATAAAATCAATTTGAAGATATCTAAACCGCATATATTCAACTATAAAAGTTGACTTGAGGGTAGCCCCTGCGTATCAATTAATTGGGAGAGGTAATGTCTTGCCCCTTATATATGTTAAACTTAATGAGCACCACAAGGCTTATCAATAAAACTTACTGTGAAGACAATAGTACCCCATATAAATCAAAATCAATGTAAAGATGACAGCATCTCATCTAAATTAGAGCATTAAATTTGAGAGTACATGCACCTTCTACTAATCCAACACAAAGACACATGTCTTACCCTCTCATATAAACTAAATTCTCTAACTTGAAGGTACATGTCCTTGGTATTGTCATGTGCTCACGGGCCTTGGCAATAAATTTTAACTCAAGGATACTCACCCTTATATAAACTTTATTTCAGCTTGAAAGTATGTGGGCTCTTCATAACACTTACGATAATGAACATAAAATATAAAATATGATAGGCACTTGAGAGGTGAAAAGCAGAGAAAGATACATTGGTTGTGATAAGTAGATGTAATAGGTGGTTTTAATATGAAAGTTATTACTGGGAGTTAACATGACTCCCCGACCAATCCCTTTCCAACATCTGGCGACAACTTCCCCTAACTTTCCTTATAAATAGACATCTCTCTTGTCACGCAAAAGGACAAGCAAAAAATAGAGAAAATACTAAGGTTGCGTTTGGATTCAAGGATTTGATTTTAAATTCCAGAATTGAAATCTAGAATTTGAAATCCAGAATTTCAAATTCAATTCCTTCGTTTGGGAAACATCCAAATTTGAATTCCAGATTTCAATTTAAAATTCATGTTTGGCAAACTTTAGAATTTTAATTTTAAAAATTTGAATTGAGTTGTTTGCTAACTAGTAGAATTCTAATTTCTGAACTAAAATTGTAGCTCGAAGATAATTTAGAAATAAGATACTCAAATTACATAAGTTTTGCATTGAAATTGGTGGGAATAAATGCCTCAAATAGTATATCACATATCCAACTAACTTGACATATAGATAAAATACCTTAAAATCTCAAATGTAGTAATGTCAATAATTGACCTAATAATCACCATAAAATAACCGAAATCATTCATCAATAAAACTTTGTAAACTCATCCACCACTAACCAAAACAATAAATAAAGTAGAAACTTCGAATATTGCATATAACAATTCAACAAACTAGATATCCAAAATATCCAACAAATACAAACCAACAAAAGTTAATATTTCGTCGTTACATAGAGTCATGCTTAAGTTGCTCTCGCTTGGTTTGGGCAGCTAGAGGTTTTTTTAGGTCTTCATATTTGGAGATTGTCTTTTGAAGTTCGTCGTTGATACTCAGTGCTTCGAACAATACAGCTTCGCTGTCTTCGGCTATCTCTATGATTCTCTGGACGGTACGTTAACATTGTCGGAATCGTTGCACGAGGAATGTCATCGAGTCATCCTGAAAGTACAATGAAATGAAATGATCAATTAGTGTATGCAAAACTACAATGAACTTTCAAAACTGCAGAAAAACATCAATGCTATCATGCTGCTTTCTAGAGAGGAAAATGTAAGAATTCGAGATCTAAATTGTACAAAAAGAGAGGTGAAAGAAAATAAACCGTAATTGTCTTACCAAAAATCGATATCCTTATTTTCCATTTAAAAGACAAATGCAAGTAATATGAAATGCAAGGATGAACATCATTGTGCAAAAGAAATACAATGTAATATCGGATTATTTTCTCTTGTTAGACAGAATGGACTAGTATACATTACCCCTAATACAAAATGCTGAAGAGAAGAGGATAACACGGTCGAAAGAATTTCAAAGCTGATTTGAGCAACATCAAGCTCATCCCTTCTCTGCTCAGCTGTAAAACTCTCAACAGGGACATCATGATCAGCCTGACTAGCTGCATTGGCATAAGATTCTGGCTCTGCAACTGAACGGGGCGGGGTAAATATTGGAGCCAAACTCTCATCATCTCTACCAGGAAAACGTATGCCCTGATATTTTAAACTCTGCAAGAAACAGAAGACCATCAGGTTTTGATGAGACGGAAATCAAGGGTTTCTCGCTTATGGCTTCGACAAATAGTTACAAGTCTAGTATTGGGTAATACATAACAAAGCCTGGTAGCTAACTAATATGGATTAAACAAACATAATATTTACGAGTTATTCTTACAAACATAATACTATTTTCCTAACATACTAGTAACTCTAATACCCTAGAAATTTTATTACATAACATAAACAAAAAACAGAAAACAGAAACAGGAGTTTGGGGTTTAAACTCGTGTCGATAGCTTTTGCGAATGTTCTTGACAAATATCTCACTCTGACCATCACATGATTGACACAAGAGTTTATATAAACTATTGAAAAAGTTTGTATTCACGAAAGCTAGGATGTATGCGCTATTGAAGTTATTTTTAAGATACTACTAGGCTTACTGCTGAAGATACTACTAGGCTTTTGGGGATTTACCATGTTGTCTTGTAATCCCTTAGAACTCCTTGTAGGTGCTCTTACTCCTTTTACCTCTTATAGGCTTTTCCAACTCAGGTTGCCAGACAGAATCCTCTGTTTCTGTAGAATTGTCTCCACCCTCATCTATGTTTTAGTTTTACAATGACCAAGAATTAGTCAAGAATAATAATGAGAAAAACAATGCTGACAACAAAAAAGAAGTTTTTGTTAGGATTAGGGAAGATACATCCAAATTGGATATCCCTTCCATCTGTAAGCTATCCACCTTAATGCTTAAATTTGAGGAGGATACACGCCTACAAAGGAGCAATGGCCAAAGTGATAATATCCTGAGTCAAATTAAGGATAACCCCATTCCTGTAAATCTAAACTCATTTCTGTGCTGGTTTTGGTGAAGTTTTTCCTAGGATACCTAGGGTCAAATTTGACATAATGGTGGCTTGGCTTAACTTTGAATCAAGCACAACTAGCAGCACATTTACATCTGCCATAAAATCATTTTTAGACTTGTAGTTTAAGGCCTTGAAACCAAGTTGCCACCACCCTTAATCCACTGAATTGGAAAAGAAACCACACGACAACATAGAATGATAAAATTTACTACTGGAATAACCTCCAAGGCACAAAAATAAACCAAGGAGACATTTGATACTACTAGGCTTACTGCTGAAGTTAAAAGATTATGTGCACCGAGAATTTGATACTACAAGCATCATCAGTAGCTGCCTACAGACTGCCTAGGAGCTCTTCTTTGGTTTCAATCACCCCTTCAACATCCTGCAATGGTAATGACGAAATAATTACAAAATTGTATAACATACTATAATTTGCAGGTCAATTAGCAAAGTGCCCATAAAACTAAATGGAGTACACAAACATTACTTCATGTCACAAAAAAAATACAAACCTACACATTAATACAATTTTTTCTAAATTCTAAGTAAGCATCTCAATAGCGAATAAATTAGCTCTAATTATAATCAAGAACATAGGTGAAAAAACCAAACTTTTTTCTCTCGGTTGTCTGTTAAAACACATTTGAACTGATCTGTGGCTCGGTAGTTTAAATTTCTTTTTCAAAAGACATTCTCCTCCCAATGAACACCAAACAGTGGAATAATCGGCTGAACTCAGCTACATTCGCATGTATCATCCCTCGTCTATGAACCTTCTCATGCTATCCATTTGATAATCAATCTATTTGCCTCTCTAATTATAAATAAAACTACATTAACTTAATCAGAGTTATATCAATGACATGGAAAATTGAGGGGCGTAAAAATCAAAACGGGCGATGTAAGGTAAATGAGTAAATATATAGATTTGGGATACTATGAAAACCAAATAAATTTAGGGGACACATAAAAATAAAAAAAACATTTTTTTTCTTTTTAGAAAATTGATGAAATTACTTACAAGTCATTTCCGATCACAAGATTAAGCAAAGCATAAAGCGCCGAGATCTGCGACTCGGCATCTTCAGAATCGATCATTCCAATCAATGGAGGGATCGCTTCGAGCATCGCCAGCGTCTCTCTCGCCTCAGGATCATCCTTCGCTAGTCTCCTCACCGCTGCCGCTGCTTGAGAGCGATTGAGAGTGGAAGTGGGGAGGGGGGATCGCGAGAGCGGGAGAGGTGGAGATCGCGAGATCGCTAGAGAAGAAACGAGAATCGCAAATGACAGCTTATGAATTGGTATTTAGAATTATGGGCTTACTATAGGCTTAAGATGTTAATGGATTTGGGCCAATACCCAGTATTCAAATTTTTATGAATCCAAATAATAGAATTGGGCCAAATACGGAATTTGAAATGAAATCAATGTTTCCAAACAGGCTGTAAGAGAAATTAGAAAGAAAAGAGACTTCAAGTGTGAAAGAGCAACGACAATGTCCTCTATATTTTTTATTTGCAATAGGGAGGAAGGCTCCAGAACGTAGTCTGGAGACTCAAGATCCCATCTCTTTTTCCTTAAATTTCGTAATATATTAGAAAGATAATAAAATCAATATATCTTTGTATTTTTTACTATTAATGTTATAGTCATTCTAGTGCTAAAAAGTAATCTCCAATCGTGAGCAGACAAGTGTCCCACATTATGCATAATCGAGCCAAGTACTTTAAACCAACCCAAGGCCCAGCTCGGATGACTCAACACGTCGACATCTCGTGAGGATGCCTCAAATGGTGTTACATATCGACCTCTGGCTAGGTCGACTTCTTGATCAACCTACTCGTCCGGCCATTTAGCTGACATCTTGTGCAGGCGACTCAAAAGGTGATACTTTTCGATCACCGGACGAGTAAAAAGGCGATGAAATACCTCAAACCTCCAACCCCTTTCGCGCACTGACAGCCAATCACCCCGCAATAAATACCATTAAATGCATAGTGGACACCATCATTCCTCTACCTCCAATAGTCTTTATGACACATCAGACTAAATCGGCACTGCACGCCCCCAATCACTTCGCATTAAATACCGAAGTGACATCTCCTCCACTCTTCAAATGACACATGTAAAGTTGATGCTGATTTGGCCATCAGCCCATACTCAATCAAAATTACCATTCTACCTGTATGTTGTCCAAAAATTACTGCAGATAGTTGATTCCCATCAAGCACTGATAATGGAAGTTACAATTCGACGACTTCCAAAAGTCTACAATTTTAAGATTTTCACGAAAATTGATGAAGGTTACAATTCAATGACCTTCACAACAACCGATGGAAGCTCTGGTTCGACAGCCTTCATAATTATCAACAAGAGTTATAACTGACAACTCTTATATTTCAAGGAGCCAAGACGAAGATTACGAGACAACAATCTTTGCAACGCTCTAATAAAAGAGACTACAAGTTGACGTCTCTTCACCTTAAGGCGCAGAAGCTCACCTCTACATTCCAGAGTCAAGACGTAGAGCTCATCTCTATGTCCCAAGAACAAAATGCAGAACTCACAACCGCGCTCCAAGAACAAAACGTAGGGTTCGCTTCTGCGTTTTTAGACCCAAACGCAGGGTTCACCACTACGTTTTCAGATCCAAACGCAGATCCCAACTCCGCGTCTGAAGTCCAAGATGCATAGTGCATTCCCAAAATGCAAATTTTGCATTTGACCTGTTCAAACATGAGTTGAACGGTTCTAAAACCGTTTTGCATGATCTGAGGGGATTACAACCCCACTAAGAAGCAATTTTAGGGGTTAGTTATACCCCTTAATCCCTTATAAATAATTGAAAAATCAGCTCAAATTGGATCTTCTAGCATATCGAGATCGGAGAGAGAGAAGGAGATCAGTTGGTCAGCAATTGTTGGCACCTTTGGATCTTCGGCTGGAATTTTTGAGAGATCTTTCGGATCAGATCTTTTGAGCCTTGGTCTGAGCTTGAAAACCGATTTCGGTTAAATCAAAAGAAAGGATTAATCTCCTTTTCTCAAATTAACTCTTTTACAGAGTTTTAAACTCGTTAAGAGTGATTAACTCGTTAAGAGTTTTAAACTTGCCTTGCAAGTTCTCCTCAACGTTAATTCAAGAGGAATAGACTACGTTCCACGAGTCGAAGCGATCATATCGTCAACAAGATACAAGATTCAAACTCTCATCGCCACCAAGAAGAACCCAGGTTTAAACAAAGGGAAGGATCTTCGTCGATTCATTCTTTCTTTTGTAAATAGGAAAACCGATATAGAAGAGTTGTAATTTCTTTTTCTAAATCAGTTAGAGAGAGATTATAAAGAGAGATTGTATTCGTTCTTTTTCTAAGCCAGTTAGAGGGATAAATACAGAATTTTATTCTCTTTTCTTCTTTAATTTTCTCACAAACACTATCCCTCTACCATCATTATAAATAGGGGTACTATTTTCAATAATAAGATAAGGTCTTTTTTTGTACTCACTGTGCTTAAGAACTTCTACAGAATCACTGACTTGATCATCAGAGGAACAACCGGGGAATCCAACCCCGCCCTCTTACGCTTTCCTACTTGTGCAGGGAAGAACATGCTACTCTAGAACTGGACATTTGGAGGGTTAGAGGACATCAGTCAACTTAATATTTTCTCTTAATGACTGTTTAATATCCGCCATCAACAGTTTGGCACCCACCGTGGGGCTTTCTCTCTTCTCCAAACAATCATGTCTGATTCTAAGCATAGGCCTGATCAGTCCATCCACGGAGCATCGCATCCAGTCTATGTTACCCAAGCTCAGTTTGAAAAGTCCACTGAACGGATCACTCAAGCCTTCTAGCAGCAGTTTGCTGCTTTCACCACCGAACTCCTCAATCGGATTCCTCCTCCTCAATCCGCTTACTTCGTTGCTCCTCCACTATCAGAGGACTAGCATTCGGCAACTCATCCTCCACCAGAAGCCCAGCTTATAGCTCCTCCTCCACCTCTGCATGTTGCCCATGCCGAATAGCAGAGAAGCTACGTCGAGCACTCGTCTCCTCCTCCATATTAGCCAACCCGTTGAGCAGATCCTCACCAGTGTTGACCCCCATACATGGAGGTGACTGGGGAGAGTTCTAACCCTGGTCATGATAGGGGGAGCACACCACCATAGGAGCTCAATGAGATCCTCAGTGTTATCGCTCCGCTCTAGGGCCCTCAACTACCTACATGGCCGCTGGTTATGATCAGACTTACCGACCAATCACTAAAGCCATTGGGGGGAAACTCCTCTCACCGATGACATCATGAATGTCACTTATGAGAAATTCAAGATGCCCCAAGTAGAGAAGTAGAAGGGTGAGGGAGACCCTGTGGAGCACATCTAGAATTACTATAGCATGATGAGCATGCTGCAGGCGCCCGAGGCCATTATCTGCGGGTGCTTTCCCATCACCTTATCGGAAAGTGCCAAGCTCTGGTGGAACTTCCTGGAGAAGAAGTCCATAGACAGCTTCGAGCAACTCACCTAGAAGTTTGTGCACCACTTCTTGGCTGACACCAAGCAGAAGTTACCTACTCATGTGTTGATACAGATGAGGTAGAAGCCTAGAAAGAGCCTCCGAATCTATCTTAAGAGATTCCAGGCAAAGCGATTGGAGGTTGATACCCCGGGAAGCATGGTCGCAATGTCGGCCATTATGGCTAGCCTATCAAACAATGAGCTAGTTGACTCACTCGCCAAGAAGTGATACTCCATATATGAGCAGTTGATGACCAAAGCTCATGGGTATATGGACATGGAGGATGCATGAGCCTACAAGAATGCGACCAGGGCAACAGAAGTGGCAATAGTAGCAATGGAGACACTGGTAACCCCAGTAATAGTAACAGTTCCAGCTTCAGCAACTCCTGTTGCACCAGCCATGTCGATTGCCACCACAACAGCCCAAGCGACACAGCGCATTCCATCCGATGCCCCTTCACTGCACTCTTTAGCTCCTCGAACGCCTCGATCTTCCTTCTTGTCTCAAATTCAGCATCCTCTTCATCATTGGAGGTTGAATCCGGGTTGGAGAATTCGAGTTTGAGGACCTCCGATGGTTTGCCCGATGGAGGTTGATCGCCGTCGTCGCAGGAGATAAAATTAAGGCTTACTGGATCTCGTCGTCGTCGTCGTCGTCGCCACCGCCGGTTGAGAGCGATTGAGAGTGGAAGTGGGGAGGGGGGATCGCGAGAGCGGGAGAGGTGGAGATCGCGAGATCGCTAGAGAAGAAACGAGAATCGCAAATGACAGCTTATGAATTGGTATTTAGAATTATGGGCTTACTATAGGCTTAAGATGTTAATGGATTTGGGCCAATACCCAGTATTCAAATTTTTATGAATCCAAATAATAGAATTGGGCCAAATACGGAATTTGAAATGAAATCAATGTTTCCAAACAGGCTGTAAGAGAAATTAGAAAGAAAAGAGACTTCAAGTGTGAAAGAGCAACGACAATGTCCTCTATATTTTTTATTTGCAATAGGGAGGAAGGCTCCAGAACGTAGTCTGGAGACTCAAGATCCCATCTCTTTTTCCTTAAATTTCGTAATATATTAGAAAGATAATAAAATCAATATATCTTTGTATTTTTTACTATTAATGTTATAGTCATTCTAGTGCTAAAAAGTAATCTCCAATCGTGAGCAGACAAGTGTCCCACATTATGCATAATCGAGCCAAGTACTTTAAACCAACCCAAGGCCCAGCTCGGATGACTCAACACGTCGACATCTCGTGAGGATGCCTCAAATGGTGTTACATATCGACCTCTGGCTAGGTCGACTTCTTGATCAACCTACTCGTCCGGCCATTTAGCTGACATCTTGTGCAGGCGACTCAAAAGGTGATACTTTTCGATCACCGGACGAGTAAAAAGGCGATGAAATACCTCAAACCTCCAACCCCTTTCGCGCACTGACAGCCAATCACCCCGCAATAAATACCATTAAATGCATAGTGGACACCATCATTCCTCTACCTCCAATAGTCTTTATGACACATCAGACTAAATCGGCACTGCACGCCCCCAATCACTTCGCATTAAATACCGAAGTGACATCTCCTCCACTCTTCAAATGACACATGTAAAGTTGATGCTGATTTGGCCATCAGCCCATACTCAATCAAAAT